CCCCCCCAGACCAACAGGGCTGGAATAAAGAGGCGAGCCTTAGGGTCACTCCGTAAATAAATCTGACCACCAGCAGAGACAACAAAACAAAACAAAACAAAAATAGCTTTCAGGTCAAGGTAAAGCAAGGATTACCACCCAACTCCAGATCCCACAACTCACCAGCCAGACAGGTACAGACAAAACCTGAAGAGTTCCAAAGTAAAGTAGAGGACAATTCTTTCCTTCGCTGAGAATCTCTTCACACTGCGCGTAGAGTTCCGTCTGAAAAACCATAATATGTAGGTTGTCAATGTTGAAAGCGCCAGACTATTGCCCAATGGAGACGTCATCTCACAATTTCGAATCCAACAAATCGGACTCCGTGCTTGTTGTATGTAATAATTAGGTCGCATTAGCAAGAAAGGAAACGCAGAAAAGAAGACACAGAAAACAGGCTGAATTTGAAAAAGAAAACAAGATGGAAGATTGAGTGGTTGAGATAGACTAGAACGTTCTTTGTATTTTCCATGCCTTGCAAAACAAACATGGAGCAGAAAAATCACAAGAAACAAAAGTTCAAAGGAAAAGATATCTATAAAAGTGTAAATCAGTGCTTCCAAACTGGGCTGTATCGTAACTGTAGTAGGTGGTGGAGATCATTCAGGTAGTGCATATTGCGCTATTATATGCCCTGTTTCGAAATGCAAGCAGGTGGGCGTTAGGAAAATTTTAGCTTCTTAGAGGTGGCAAAAGTGGGTCCTGGCTTTGAAACAGCTTGGCAGGCACTGGTGTTAATGAGTACATTCAAATCTTGGACGCCTGTGGTGCTGCGGTCTGACATTCAATATTGCAGGAATCTCTGTCATACACACAGGAATGATCGGACAGACCCGTATCTGTAGTGTAGCGGTTAGCGCTTCGCTTTCACAAACAGAAGACCTGAGTTTGATTCCAGTGAGGGAAGAAATCTTATCAAGTATCTCGGTCTTTCTTCTGGGATGGTGCATCCCTCTCAGCCTAGGTTGACCTTGGTTGGCAGTTTTGCAGACCTCCTCATGAATGCTCTAGATTGTGTCAATGGGGGGTTGTAAAAACATCTAGCCTTCATTTGAAAGAAAATTAACTGGCAGAAGGATGTGCACTGTTGTTTTTGTGTTTACATTCCATTCCGTCCGCTTAACATTCAACTGGACACGTACACCTCTAAAAAAAATAACAATCCCCCCCCCCACACACACACACTAAAAACAACCCCCAAACTCATTGACAACAACAAACATGCAGAAAAATAAAAACAACACAAGCACACACACA